GATTGCTGCACTTCATCAGAAGAGACTGGATGCACCTCGGGAGGCTGCACTTCGACCACAGCTGCCTGATCCTCAACCCCAACGCCTTGTGCTTCTTCTTCTTCTTCTTCCTCCCCCACTGCCACCAACTCAGCCTCAAAGGCTGGAGGAAAAATAGTGAGCCCCTCTGCATCATGCTCCCACCTCAACGTGATCTGAGGTGGGAAGTCAGCACAGAGGCTCTCCCCATCTTCCTCCACCCCTTCTTCTTGTTCCTCAAAGGTAACTGTTGTCACGTCCACCTCTGGGTACTGGGCCTTCACCTTATTTCTACAGTCGGTGAAGGCCACGATTGCGGTTGGCAGCCGGTAAAGTTTGAGGATATTCTCGAAGGTGCTGGAGTTGAGGAAGTTGCCAATGTGCTCCTCCATCTCGTTGTGAACCAGTAGGTTCACGTTCTTCTTCAGCTCCGTTGCTCCTTTCCTCATGTTGTCAATGTATTTGTCCTGAGCCTCGAGCTTCTCCTCACAGATCTTCCTCTTACGTTCTTCGAGGACAAGCTTCGTGCTCAGGACATCATTCTCGTTTTGGAGCTCGGTCACTGAAGGGAGAACTTCATCCAGCCTCCTCTGGATCTCCCTCTTCTCCTTCTCCCATTCCCCCTTCTCCTTCTATAGCTCATCCTTCTCCTTCTGCAGCTGCTCGCACTGCCTCTGCAAGCTGGCACAATCTCTCACGCTCTCTGCATACTCCTACACTAGAGCGTTTGTCTAGCTCGCACTCTACAATGCAATCATAAATCAGACATCAGATACAGAGGTCAAAAAACTCAAACATACAACCGGAGTGAATTCCAACTATTTCGCATACCTCTAGGACGTGCCTCACAATGGTATACCCCACATGGCTAACCACCTCGTCCTTCGCCTGCATCCTATCCACCTCAGGAAGAGTAGAGTTGAGGAAGTGCTTCACCCCAGTCGTGTTTGTCGCCTCAAACAAACTCTTCTAGTACGCGTTAGGAGGGATGCGCTCCTTGCCCCCACCAAGGCCTCGCACCTCAACCTCTTCCTTCTCCCTGTCTTCAGGATTGATTTCTGGAGGAGAAGGCCGGGGCACGAACTCCACCACCTCGTCCCCCCTGGCTTCTGGCTCTGCCACCCTTCTCTTTTTCCTTTGGAGAGGTGCCACCTCACTTACATCCTCGCTACCCCCCATCACAGGCTCCGGCCTTGGCTGCACCTCCACAGCCCGGGCAGAAGTGCTGGACAGTCGCCCCCTCTCTACCACCCCCTTCTCCGCCGCAGTTGAAGTCTTTGACTTCTTCCTTGGCTTCTTTGGGATGTGCAGGCCCCTAGCCGCATTAACTAACTCGTCCATCTCAGCTGCAAAACAAACGTCAATATTAGAACACACCAGTTAAAATCTCATCAAAATTGCACACTATAAACATACACAAACCTTCGCTCAATGAGCTTGGCCCATAGAGCTCAGTAGCCTCTATTGCCTTCGGACTGGTGAGATACAAGATATCCACTACGTCTCCATCTTCCCTCACCAGCTTCTCCACCTCCTCCACCTTATCCTCATTCAACTTATAGTTGTTCTGCTTGGTTTTCTTCACTTTCCAAGCAAACAACTGTTCCACTTCGGCATCCCTCCTACTCCACTCGGTGTCATCCACAAAGAAGAATTTTTCTTTCCACCCTTTGATGGATGACGGTCCAGCA